TAGAGTAACATTTTTTTGGGCCTAAGCTATAAAATGCTGTGTATTCGTGCGTTCACGATAACACCACGATGCACGCTGGTCATTTGTTCTGATGACTCGCAGGGCTGAGTTTACAAGATGCACGCTCGACATAAAACAGTTTAAAAATCTGCAGATTTCGATTCATTTTGACAGGATGAATTGCATGAATTCCTCTGCTTGTAAACACAGTTTCGGGGTCAGGGACTGATACAGAAGAGTAGTAGTTGTTGACATTTTTGGTACACAAAAAGTATTCTCGTCGCTTCATAAAATTAATGTTGAACCACTGTCACATGGACTATTTTAATGATGTCTTTCCTACCTTTCTGGGCCTTGAAAGTGTTAATTAAATAGCTATCAATGGAGCCCCCCCTGAGTCATCGGATTTTATAAGAAAAAAAAAATCTTAATTTGTGTTCCGAAGATGAAGGTCTTACGGGTTTGGAACGAGATGTAATTAATGACATAGTTTTGCTTTTTGGGTGAACTATCCCTTAAAGCCTTGTCTGTGACACCAAGGGTACAACTACTGAATTAACTTGACTAAATAAGCGTTCAGTTTTATCCTATTTTCTTATTAGCTTATGTCTTTATCTTATTATATGTTGCAGAATCACATCACAACATTGAAATTAGCACTGTAATAGCTTCACAGACTGGCCTTATACTTCACCTCCACTAGTGCTTAAACCAGATACTGTGGGCCAATGCAGTTACTTTACTTGACCTTTTTTTTTTTACTTCATAAGTTGTGTCTAAAGTAGGCTATGTTGGTAAACTATATTAATATATTACTCAAAAACTATATTTGCAGGGCAGCTGCCTGAGTTTCAGTAAGTTTCTCTTCACCAAAAACAATCCCACAGCCTAGGTCTGGGTTTGTGAATGCTTTAAAGGAGCTGTATGTATTGTGGCCAAACCTGGTACTGCAATCACTTTCAAACTTTCTTATACAGTCTATGCTTTCAAATAGAGTGGTTGAATATCTCGTCTCAGGGGGATATGAGGGTGGAAAGCAGAGGTAGAAAGTAACTAATTACAAATAGTTTCTTTACAGTACTTGAGCAGATTTTTCGATTATTTCTACTTCCTCGATATAATTGAAATGTGGTACTTTTACTTGAGTAAAATAAAAATAAAGTATTCAACTTCGCTACATTTATTTTTCACCAAAAGTATAAAGTACTACTTTGACAAATGTGCCAACGGAGCAACAGGGCAAGCTGACATTTGACAGACACTTTTCAAAACTACTGCACTGTGCTTCAGCCAATAACAAACACATCTGAAGCACTTCAGCAAATAACAGACAGGTCTGAGTTGGCTGTAAAGTGATTTTAGGGCAGTATTAAACCAAGAATTAAGTTTATTAAACCACATTTTGTACTTCTTTTTGTTGGAATTTTATATTAGAATTTATAATTTTAATTCATATTTATATCTAAAATACTTGTCTGTTGCTCAGTAGATAGATTCAGGGACAAATGATACATATTTAAGATATCAATAAATACTAACATTTAAACAGCCCAATTTAAAGTAGTCATCAAATCTGCCACTGGGTTTTTTTTTCAGACTCTGTTCACCAAGCTATTTTAACCTATGACTCACCATTAGTGCCATTAGACCACAGTAGCATCTCTTCTATAAATATAGTAGCATAAATTCCTGCAAAGCCTTACCACACGAAACCTGTGATATTCGAACGGCTAGGTGTCAATTATTCATATCAAAAACAACATCCACATTATCAAGTTGTGATATTAGTTTGTCATAAAACTGGTTGTAAAAAGCCTTACATTTGCTCCATCATACTAATTGTTTTGCATGTGAACACAATATATCACAACAGCATTTGTTTATTAAAGGGAGAGTTCATGTGACAAGGAAAATCCTAAAATGAAATTTAAAATCACTATTACTCAACTAATACTGGTAGCCCACTTAAAGGAGTGAATGAAAGTGTGTGAGCAAATCCAAACACAGAGTGCGATGAAAGGGCTGCCGCTTTTGCTTAGTTGGTGCTTGCTGTTTAATAATCATTGAAACGGTTGGTTTTAGAGTACATTTTAAAATTTTAGTTATTACTTTATGGTCAAGCACCCTCTTACGTCCAGGATATGTCGGTCTCAGAGGTCTTCAGGCCAATATCTTTTAACTGTTCCCAGAACACGCCTTAGGACAAGAGGTGACCGTGCTTTTTGTGTTGTGGCTCGGGAACTCGCTCCCTTTAGATCTGAGAACTACTCATCGTTTTGGACAAGCTTTTTTTAAAAAAAAAAAATACCATTGTTGTCTTCCAACCTCTAATCTTGTACTTGCATCTGAGTTATCCTGACAGAAGAACCAACTTAAAAAAGGAAAAAAAAGAAAAGTACTGCTACAATGCCACCATCTCTGACTCCCTGGTGCCTTCACCATCTCCAGAGGCATCTCACTGCCCTCTCCAGGCTAGGTTCATTGTTCCATCCCAGAGTGTCCCACAAGGTATGAGAGATCCGTCAGAATGACATTAATTACTTGGGCCCCTGAATGTGACAGAAATCAATGATTATTGTTTAATCGAAATAGTGTTTTTGTTAGGCACTACTGATACATCTAATGTAGGGTGTTACCTTAAAATATACAATACTTTAAGGAGGTCATAATGCCATTTTTGTAAAAGTTAATAATTCTTTAGGGTCTAAATGAAAAGTTTGTAATATACTTTAATTAAAAATTCTCATTAGTATTGTAAGAAAACAGTAATTTTACCTGGTCAAACTGCTCTGATTTCAACATGCCATTTAAGTGCATGTGTCTTTAAATTAAAATAAGCTACGTCACCCCGCCCCTCTGTTCTGTGGTACGAATGCTATATGCATTTACTGATGTAACTTATACTTGCACAGTTTGTAATATCACAATAACCATGTAGGCTATTCAGCGTGAAGTAGCGACACGCCAATTCGTATTTCCATTTTTGGCGTGCTATCAAGACGCATAATCGCCTTTCAGCGTGTTTATGAACGCCGTTGACTTAACGTTATATAAATATATGACTTCCCTCAACCCCGTCCCTAAACCTAACCGTCACTGGGGTTAATGGCATTTTTGACTGTTCCCTTACCATCCTAGGTAAAAAAAGATATGACTTACCTCAACCCCATCCATAAACCTAACCGTCACTGGGGTTAATGGCATTTATGACTGGAGATGAGAACATGCGGAATGACGCGGACGTTAATGGCGTAGACATACGCATACACGCGGATAGCTCAAAATGCGTAGAGATAACACGCCACCTGACTCAAAAGTGGCGTATATGTTTACAAAAGTCATGATGTCATGTTGCAGAGTGAGACTCACGCTGAATGCTGATTTCTCACGCTGTAGTGTCAACCCAGTCGGTCAAATGCCTGAAAGATGAGTCTATATAGATCTACCTGTTGAGCCACTCGTGATCGACTAGTTATACGGCAAATCCCGTAATCTAGAGCGAGCGTGCATGCGAGAGAGGTGTTGTGGTCGATGTCGCTCGTGGTCATGGCGATTTTGTCAGTCATTTTGTATTTGGCACACTTTTGGAAACATTGAGGCACTGATGTACCTAATGCAAATAAAACATCTCCAGTTAACTAGCAGAGCATTAATTTAGTTCGAGATCTAGCGCTAAAATGTTTTGGTTTTGAAATCAAGCTGAGCGCCTGTTGCCGCTGCTGTCAGTTGCAGTCTTGACGCGCACTTCAATCGCCGTGACGGAGACTCTATTCAGTCTGGTAAAATCACAAAATAAAATTCACACAAACATGCCCCTGCTTAATAGACTGTAACCACTGATAAACATATTCGGTTTGACGAGAGAAAAAAATACATAAACCGAGGGTGGATTAGAACCCGTAACCTCTGACACTCTTGGCAAAAGATCTACTATACTAGACCATTGAAAAGCTCAAACCAATAATTGCAGATCTGTGGATTTATCTATGGGTTGAGCAGAAAGCTTGCACAGTTTGACAAGTTTGTTCCCAGCACTTTTGAAAACAAAACTCAGCCAATGCTTCTTCAGTGGTCGGATTTAGGAACATCAAAATATCTGTGTTCGTTATTACACCCAAGAACAGAACACCACAATCGCTTAGATTTTTATCTTTTTTTTTTTTTTTTCATTTTGATTTTTATCATTATATGATGGTTGTGTACTGGCACTGCCAACACACATTTCAGTACAATCAACTTGTAAAAGTGCATGTAAATTTAAAGAGCCCTTTAAATTTAAGGCAGTATGTATACGATTCATTTTCACAGTACATTTAGGGGAGTGCAGAGAAAAAAGGCATGCAAAAGTGTGATTAGGCTGATAAGATGAACGTTCACAGTCATGGTAATTCTGTGAAGTTGTTTTGACAGAATATGTGGTGAAGAAAAAAAGTGTTAAGTGTACTCCTACTGTGAAAATTTGCTGTGGTGAATTTGAGAACCTAAGCTGTAAAAAAAAAAAAAAAAAGAAATTATAACCTTAATAATACTGCTTATAAATAAATAACCTTTATTTATAACCTTTATAAATAAATAACCTTTATTTATACCTATATAAATAACCTTTTTATTTATTATAAATAACCTTATTCAGCAGTTTTTAAAACAGATACAACAATATCAAAAGACCTGATCATTCTGTAGTTGCGTTGTTTATTTCTCAGAAAGGACCTTTGTGTTAGCCAGTGGCAGCTGATATACTAAATTAAAATTACAATTGGTTATGAATAAGGAAAAACAAGGGATGTTTTTTGATATGTATTTTATTAAACAATAATTCAGGGTGTTATTGATTTTTGGCCATACAAAACAGTATTACAAAATATAAATAAAAGTTTTTAATATTGATGTTGTTTGCCAAAACCACTCAGTACATGTCTGTGTGTAAAAATAAACATACTTTAGACTATTATGGCAGTAAGTTTAAATGTAGTGTTATTACATAATTGTTAAAAGAAAAAAGAAACACTCAATTTAGGTTAAATGTATGTGTGGGAAGCTGTAACTTAACCTGGAGTTCGATTTGTTTTACTTGCAAGTAAATTATGCAATATGACGTTAGTTATCTTGTCTGTATATTACGATTAACTTGATGCTAGATTGAAGAGAGATGATCACTGTAATGCTTGACACAATGTTAAAAAAAAAAAAAAAATAATGTAAGGACATGTTGATGTTCATTTAGTCAGCATTTTATTGGAATGTTTAGGAAGGAAAGTTAGTGTTTTGTCTGGAGATGAGTGGTTCTGGAGAGACCAGATCTTAGTGGGAGATGCAGCTGAAGTCTGCGGCTCATAGTAAAAGGCAGGTGCATTTGGACAACTTCTCGTGGCTGAGCAGACCATGCTGGGTTGTGGCCAAGTTCTGGATCAGGCCCCAGAAGTGTTTGAAGCTGATGCCTTCTCCATCTTTCACACCCATTTGCTTCAGCACTTCTCCAAAATGATCCGACTAGAGGGAAAAAAAGAGAGTGGAAATCCTCAGTCAAAATGTGCCCCATTTTATTTTGCATTTGAACAATTGCACTTTATCGCCCTCATGTGGCTATTGGTTTGTCTGCATTGCTTTGTAATAAATATTATTTTGAGCCCATACCCCACTCCCCTTGTTCTTTAATATCTCTCCAAGTTCAGGTACAATGAGTAGATTCAAGTTTTTAAATATAATCAAATTAAATTAATCGACTATGATTATGCATTGCTTGCATAATCATATATACAAGATTGATACTGATTTTGTTTAAAGAAAATTTTCTAAATCTGTACAGTGACGGTCTATATAATTTTTCTTCTGTCACTCACAACATGAACTGTGAGCACAAATGCATCAACACTGAAGTACAATTTGAATGTTACAGTATCATTTACATTCAACTAAAATAAATATATAATCCTCTATGTCACAGGTTCTCCCTGAAGCTGTAGAAGGCCTGCCATAACATGATCTGGTACCGACTGTAACTGAAGTGGAGGAGAAACTTATTTAGATCAATGGCAGCCACCATTTTGCTCCCTGAATGGAGCCACACCCAGTTGTCCTCCGCTGGCTAAACCGGAGTTTAAACTGATCTGTGTAATCAGACCACGCCTCTATCTAAAGCATTATAAGGTGTGTGGTTTTTTTTTTATATACCAGCTCATACACTGTTCCTAAAACTGGCCTTTCCAGCACAACCCCTATCTAAAATTATGTAAAATTATAATATCTAAATTTTTTTTTTTTTTTAGAAGCCTAACATTATTGTTATAATAAATAAAACTGATTTCACTGTAACATTTTCACATTTTCCCCCACTGAAAGGTTTGTCAATTGTTCAGCAGCTTAATACAGTCACCGGACATAAGCAATACCAGTTTTTAGACATTCTTATCTGGTGGAATAACTGGCATCATGGGTTTTTACCTTGATTAATGTTGGCAGCTGGGAAGAGAGAAGGTTCTTGAACTCGTCTACCTTCAGCGTAGGTTGATTATCAGGAGAAGCGGCATGGAAGTTTGTGACCAAGGTGTTAATGGCCTTCTCAAGGTCAGAATACTGCAGAATTAAGATATTGTGTACAGATAGAGACAGATCATTATAAGAACAATAATATAGGTGGAGGTTCTACTGCTTAGGGTTTCATAGCCTAATGATTTAGGAGAACCTGTTTTAGTTTCACAAATAAGTTTTTTCTATCACCACCCATGTGTTGGCACTTTAAAGAACAAACAAACAAACAAAAAAATACTGATCTGGGGAGAATATAATGATCTTTGCTCGATGTCTATTATAATTCGACTGGAAAATGTAGAGCAGGAAACCATCTTTTAAATTGCCAAAATGATATGACAATCAGCACTTCTATTTAGTTTTGTTATGTTAACTGTTGCTTGGTATTTTATAATGACGAACAATAAACATTCAGACTGTGCTCGGTTTTATATTTATCAATCAACTCTAAAGATCCACAAACTTGTGCTTTTCTTCACTCCCTTCAAAACTACCAGTAGAGTAGAGTGCACTATCCGTAAACGGTGTGTATTCAAACCTTGCTCACTCTCACACAATAATCTAGATTGAAGTACCTGAAATACCTGCATGTCTGGCCATGACAGCCCGCCCTCTGAGCATATTTACCTAAGTTGGGCTATGAAACCATTTCCCTGTTTTGTTAAAACAATGGGTTAGGGTTTCATTGTTCGAAATACATTTACTGTACGCTGTTGAAATAATACATAAAAAATCGTGTGGCTGCCACTACAATAATAAAAGGGATGGTTCACCCAATAACTCACCCTCATTTTGGTAACCACCCATTGACTTCCATAGTATTTTTTTTCCTGGAGGTTAATGGGTGCCATCAGCTATTTTCTTTTATGTTCAACAGAAGAATGTAACTAAATAGTAAGATAGTAAGTAATGACACAAGTTTCATTTTGGGGTGAACTATCCCTTTAATACCTAACACTAATAGCAGCCTTGACAATTCACAACCACCCTGGTCTCACACCACCTTCTTCAGGCCTTTCTGCCAATCCACACCAACTCAGTCTGATTGATTCCCCGTGCTTTCCATTTCTACACAATGGATGTATGTCAAAACCTAGTGAGCTGCCTGCTTAGACAGCATTTTTTGTCTATTATAGGCGGTGGTTAGGGTATGAACGCAGAGCGCACACTAGGGTTTGACACATAACCATTGTGTAGTTTGCATAGATAACATTGCTAACGTTTAATTGCAACGATTGTCTCGACTCGTATGAATTATTTAGCGATATTTCTAAGATTCTTTGTTTGTTAGGGTCACAGGGCGAGTTTCTGCATTCAAAAATGAGACTCACTCAGCACGGCGGGATGCCACGAGAAGAGTTTTCGAAAGTCGAATTTCTTTTCAATCTAACTTAGCCTACGTGTTTTATAAAACGCGATGGCTATGACACGACTCATAAAAAAAAAACAGACACATCCGCATAAAAACAACCAAACAAACAGAAAACAGCACAAAAAAGGCATGCGTCAGTGGCACTTTTTAACTGCTCATCCAAAAAGGAAACAGAAGCAAAGATTTTTGGGGGAGAAACACACTTAACCTTTAAGGTTTCTTGTTTTAGTTTATTTGACAGCGGAATACAGCATCTTGACACCGTTTCGGTCAAGTGCGGAAGATATAGCTACCGAGATTGACAAATACAAAGTTTCAAGAGAAAAAAAAAAAAAAAAAAAAAAACGACAAAACGCAGTTAATGTAAAACACTCATAAACTGCGTGAAAACCAATTTAACATGCAAAGGAGCAATCACAAATCTGTAATATAATGTACACCACGTACCTCTGCCGCCATTTGAAGTGAATTTATTTTATTTTCTCGCCTCTAGATAAACTTTACTGTTCCCGTCGTGCCTACTCCTACTTTACACTCTCAGCGTCCCATCTCTTCTGTCACTTCTTGGCTGACATCCTGAATCCTCCCACTCAGGGGAAAAAAAAAGAAAGAAAGAAAAATCAAACCCACCTTCCGAGTCAGTGACCACTAAGGGAAAAATGTCTCATGTAACTTGATGCTCTAGGACCGTAAACTTAACGGGGCGGAGTCGATCGGGTTTCATCCACACTCTGGAAAAAACTCTGGAAAACCAGGTTTCCGTATGACACTTTTTTTTTTTTTTTTTGTAGATGGATGAAACCATTGGAAACTATTAAGCCTATTGCTCATTTGGGAACACATCTGGAAGCTCTCAGTATACAAATTCCTTTGCGCAACAACAGGCCTCTACTTCAGAACGTGTGATTAGGTTTGCATTGGCCTAGTTTTTAGTCTTGTGGCATGTTGTAATCGTATTGTTCTTAAAACAAACAAACGGATAAGCTAGAAACGTGTTAGATATTATTCAATGTGCAGTTTTGGTCAGCATGTGTGTACAGTTTTGTCAGAAAGTCTCTATAGATTCCCATTGAGCAAGGCGTGTCACTGTACATATAAAAATCCACTGACTGGCTGTCTTCCTCTCCTTGTTTTCTGAACAGTTCGGGTAATGTACAGGCAAGGGCATGCTTAGCATTTTGGGTGGGTGCACTGAGATTACGAGACATGACACTCCTTTGACAGCATTACAGCAACATATTACTACAGAATATAGGGCAGCATTGTACAGGTGTAAAAGCACACAGATTGAACAATCTGAGCAATGAATTAGTCATCTGTCCTCATATACAAACAGTTGCACAACCCTCTTGATAACAAGTGGGCTTTGTATAATTGACTCATTTACACAAGCAGAATTACACACTCACACTAACAAATGTATATTTAATGTATGTTGTATATATGTATATGTATATTTTTATATATATTTTTTTATATGTGTGTGTGTGTGTGTGTGTGTGTGTATAAGCTACATGTACTTTAGACAATACATTGACATAAGTGAATTTCTTTAAAGCATGACAATAAGTCATGATTTAAAATGTACTTTAATGAAAAGTATATCTTTAATTCATTATAAAGTAATAATTTATTATTTGCAAGTACGAGATTAGAAGTACAAGTGCACATTCAGTTCAATTAAGCACAATACTTTTTCACAATGGAATACAAAGGTCATTTGTTTCTGTCTCATGAAGTTTTTTTTATTTTATTTTTTTGTAAGTTGTTTCTGGTTTGTTACTGGACAATGTCCATTAAAAAATACCAGGATTTGGCCCCATATTCAAGTAAATTGTAAATGTTAACAATTTTTCTGTTCCTTTTCCACATTTGTATATTTGTGTGAGCACAAACAGCAGTGTTTCTCACTGTTAGTTTCAACTCAGTGCAAGTCTACATTCTTCACATACCACATTTTTTTCTGGCAAACTGCAGGTAAAACAGTCAGTTTGCAAATGGCAGTCTTACTCAAATGTAACATACTCACAAAGAGAACAAATGTACTTTGTATGTACAAACTCATGTTCATACTTGTATGATTGTGATGCATAGATTATGCATGCTTCAGAGTCCAGAGTCAGTATTTGCTCATGAGTGTGTCATCATCATCTGCTTTGCATTGCCTGCCTATCTCTGCCAATTTCAAAGTCTCCAAATCAATCCATTCTGCAACTTTTAAATGCTAAATTATATTTTATTAAGAAGAAAATTATAAGCTTAAGTGCAGGATCCGAAAGTTGGTAGTTTTGTCGTAGTTTTGTTGGTAGTTTTGAGGACTTTATTTAATTTCTAGAGCTTATGGTTAACATTTCTTCTTCTTTTTTTTCAAATCTACTAGCAATCTCCTAGTCTTTTAAGAAATTATATCAGGGTGCCTTCCAACCTGTTTAGTTTGTATATATAAACGTTTACAGAGAAGCAGGAAACCAAGAGCACATAGTTCCCTGTTATCACAACAAGGGTTGAAACATAACATGACTGATTACGAATTTACTCTGCCTAATCTAATGCCAATGTCACAATTCCCTATCCTGTTCAAACCTGTGCTAAACTAAATCTACTTCTGCCCTGCCTTAATATCTCATAGCTACTGAAATCACAGAGTTATGACTCCTTGTATCCGCTTTAACCAGGGGCATTTCTATCCTTTCATCATTATCGGGACAGTGTCCCTATATTTCAGTCAGTGGACCGGGGCCCACTAGGAGCCTCTAGGAGCAATCTTCTAATGGGACTCCAATATGACCTACAATGATTAATAATCCTCAGCATCACTTTGACTAATCAGCTCTCTGTCTACACCCTGGTGTCCACTTCCACCTGCTCCACCTCCATCAGTTGGCCCCCTAGAGTTGTCAGCCCTTTCTCCACCATGGCTTTTCCCTCCATCGGCTCCACCTGCAGCCTGGGTCCCACCTTCTCCCCACCATCTACTCCACCCTGGTCTCCTAAGCTGCCGGCACCAACCTTCCGGGAGGGTGAGGTACTGTCACATTTCAGTTCATGTTTGGACTTTCAGCTTGTGTTTTGATTGGTTCCTGATTTCCTTGTGTTCTCATTTGTTTCTATGGTTACTGTCATTATGAGTTAATTTGTCCCAGCTGTGTCTGATTAATTATCTAATTTCTGTTTGCTATTTAAGGCCCTGTATTAAGGCCGCTCGCGGGTGAAAACGTAAAAATATTTTATCGGATGTGCCTTTCGTTTACACGGTGACGGCGTTTTTGGGGCTTAAAATCGCAAAAAAGTGAAACCACCCTCCAGAGTGGAAATCTTAAAAACGCTCCACTGTCGCGTTCCCGTGTAAAGCCCCGTTCACACTATGTCGCTGCAGGTTGCCAGTGGCTGCTTTCTGGAGGGCGTTCCCCACTACTGGCTGCCTACACTCTTAGAAGAAAAGGTTCTATATAGAACCTTAAAAGGTTCTATCAGCGCTACATATTTGGAACCCCTAAAAGGTTCTATACACTCTTAAAAAAAGGGTTCCTCTGGGTTCTATATAGAACCCTGGGGTTCCATACTTGGTCAATAGAACCTTTTACCAAAAAAATGGTTCTATAGAACCATTTTGGAGTTCCATATATGAAGCGGGGGATGGAACCACTTCTGCTTCTAAATAGAACCATTTCTTCTTAGAGTGTAGTAATGTTTGTGAGTGACATTTACGGGCATTACTCTATGTTAGACAACAAATGCATTTTATTGCAAATTTGTTTTTATTCGCCCGCTCACCATTAAAAAAAATCAATGGTATCGCGTCGCTTGGTCGCGTGTGAACGGGGCTTAAAAACGCAAAAGTCTGCTTGACAGTGAAGGTTGTACGCAGGCGCGCGGACTTGGTGTTGTTGTGTGGAAGTGCTTCACATCGCCACCTAGCCGCCTGGAGTGCATACTACATCGAATTTCACACACTTTTGCGTCACCATATGCACGCAGATTTCCCACCCATAACGCTCGTCTAAACGCAGAATAAAAAGTGATAATGTAACGCCACTTTTCGTTTTCAAAGACGTTTTCTCTTCAGATCGTTTCCGTGTAAACATAGCCTAATGCACCCTTTCTTTCCGCCTTTGTCCGATCTCTGTTTTGTTAATGTATTTTCCCTGCTTTTCAGTTAGAGTATTATTATTAAAGGTTGAATTTGTATCTGTAATCTGAGTCTTCACTCTGTTCCTGAGATATCCACAGTATGAGAGTAGCAGGTGACAAAATTCTCAAGAAACTTTTGGTTAACATTGTCACTGTGAATATTTAGACCACTAACATTTAACACTGTTCCAGCTTTTAACTTCAACAGATATTAACCAAAGTTTAAAAAAAAAAAAAGTGCAATGGAATATACTGAGGTCCTGCATTTCAGTCAAACTGTTTATAATATCTCACTGCATTTTAATCCTAACTAGACTTTCCATTGTTTTACTGTAAGTATCCTGTGTTTTCTGTAGTCACTGTCTACTGAGAGAAGACCTATCACAGACCGCTGAAAGGAAGACCAATTTTTTTGCTGATCAAGACAACAGGCTAGATTCAGTTGTGTGATAGTCAGACGTAAAAGATGAGCACCTGGCTGATGATGATCTGGGTATCTCTCACTGTGATAACAGGTAAAGAGATTTTACTCATTTTATAATGAAACAGTTTGTTAAATGAGAATTTTAATCTCTAGAAATATGCTTCTGAATTCATAAAATCAAGTTGGTAACACTTTATTTAGACAGTCTACAAACTATAAGTAACTTGTCATCTACCTACCAGTCATTAAAGTATTAGTAGACTGTCTGCTTAATATCTGCTAACACTTTATTTTGATGGTCGCCCAACATACAGACTATAACTTTGCAAGTACAGGTTGTTCTACTAACCGTATAATGAAAGTTAGTTGACATGTAGTTGCAAATTAATGAGTTGGTTGGCATGTACAAAAGTTTCAAAGTTACTCATAGTTAGAATGTCTAAGTGGGTTATTGAATTAAAGTGCAACCATCAAGTTTATTTAAAGCTTCTAAAGTTGCTCAAAGTTTAATTTGAACATTTGTAGGCATGATCATTTTGAAGTTATTAAATGAAATTCTTCTTTACACTCTTAGAAGAAAAGGTTCTATATAGAACCTTAAAAGGTTCTATCAGCGCTACATATTTGGAACCCCTAAAAGGTTCTATACAGAACCCTTTCAATTGGGGTTAAAAATTTTTTTAAGGGTTCCTTTAGGGTTCTATATGGAACCTTTTGGGTTAAAAAAATGTATATATTTATATCATTTTATGTAGTTAATCAATTTCAAAAATCAACATGATTAAAATTTGATGTCAAGTTATTACAACAGAATAATAAGAAATAATTTAATTATAACTACAAAATGTTGCAGAATAATGTAATATATGAATGAATAATAGCCTATAAAGAACCTTTGTGCCAAAAGGGTTCTTTCTTGTCATTATATAACCTTTTTAGCATAAAAGGTTCTTTGGAGTTGAGTAAAGAACCCTATGCTTCATATATAGAACACTTTTTTCTAAGAGTGTACGTTC